TGTGCATCCATGAGCATTTTAAAAAGGTCAAAGAGCAAAGGCGGGCCAGAAAATGGAAGTCAGAGGCAAGGGTCAGAGACAAGTCAGGCCTTAATGGAGAGAACAATAGGGTCGGGATCACATGGAAGCGGTGATGGCTAGGAACAAAGTGGAGGGGACTGTGACTTGTCACCGATTGGCCCAGACAATAAAAATGCATTAACTCACAGGGTGCTTGTGAGCATAGGCTATTAAAAGTCATGTAATTTGAAGCATTTAAAAAACTATAAAGCTCTAACAGAGATTACTATTTTTATCTTGTGGTATCATAAAGATGAAACAACTGCCAAAAAGCTTGTCAAGATTAACCCCATCAGGGAGCAACCTAACAGCTGTCCTCTCTTTTACCCAGGGGAACGCGCACTTGGCATTCACAGAAGACTTGCCTTTGCTACTCCTCATGCGTCCGGCGCTCTCTCAGACTCAGGTCATTTACCTTCTGCTCTGATCCCTCAGTGCTTCTGGTGAATCCTCCAATTCCCAACCATAAAGGCTAATGCAGTAGCAGGACTTGAGGCATTCTGCATCAAGAAATCTCTCAGCTCTTGCTACCTAAAGTTAAAAACTGTATTTCTGAAGGGCAAAGTTATTTTTCCCCTGCTTTATTATTTGTTGAGTCCTCTGCCCTCGTGAGCTGATGTGCTTACATTCCATTACCATACATTCAATTGTTGGGGAATTTATTCTCAATTTTCCCCCCTCTGGATACACAGCTACATTTAGAATAGGTTGTCATTAGAAAGTTGCTTGCTTTCCTTTCGTTGAAGAGTTCTCTGAATTTCTCACATCCTGTTTGATTCTATTACTCCCATTTCAATCGCTGTTCAATCACGGTCCAGTGAATATTTTCCTACCAACAGATAGACATTTTAACTGCCAATCATAAGGGAACTGGTATGCATTAATTCAAAAAGTCAGTTTGCCATGGTCTTTCTTATTCAATGATCTATCCTCATTGGTCCTAGCTTTTTTCGCCTCATTCTTCAAAGCTGCACAGATCCCTGAGTAGGCAGATATGCTGCGCCTTTCTGATAATATTAATCTGACATTCAGGATGCTCCATTCATGTGTCTCAGGTCAGAAGCACAAAATGAGATGCTCATCTCAACCTCATTTTTAAGAGAAGCTACTGCTCTGCACACTGCAATCACAGAACAGTGATGAGGCAGTCAGCCAAATGCATCTTCCTCTGCAGTGAATGTTAAATTCTATAATTTAATGTGGCCACAACCTACATGTCAAAGAGACCTTGGATCAGAAATGAGGCCACCCAAGTCATGATTTCTGTTCAGTATCAAAAAGTCTTTATTCATTGATCTTCTTCCCACTCCTATATTTCTCTGATCCTTTATCTTGTAAAGTTAGAAGTTTGATTAATTGATCTTTGAGGTTCCTGACAACTCTAGAACTCCATTTTCACAATTTCTTTTCTTCCTGTACAAATACAGTCTCCCCACAGTGGGGGAAGAAAACAACAACAACAGAGTGATCAGGGAAGTCAACAGAGCAGATGTTTGAGCTGAGCTTGAAGGACAGAGTGCAACACTTCCAGATAGATGAAGGAAGAAAAGTATTCTAAATAGCAGGTGCAAAGTCACAGAGAGGTAAATTAGCATGGAGTATGTGAACTTTAGGTAAAATAGCCAGTTTGGCACTCAAGAGGAATTCAAGCCTAGGATGGCAGCCCTAGCCTAGTGAAGTCTGTATTATTATATTACATAACTAACTTTAATTGACATGGAATTTCTTAGTTGAAAAAATATGACATTAAATAACATCTACACAGAGCAAAACAAGGGGCCAGTGTGTTTTCCCAGCTGTCAGGAAGGAGCTTCACAGTGGAGGCTCTAATTCTAGGGCCAGTAATTATCTTCAGGAGGCCAGACCAGTGAAGAGTTTCTGGTGCCTACATGAAGTCAAGTACTGGGGGAGATTGATCCTTAGTCTGACTGTCTATAGTGCAGCCAGAAGAAAGAGCCCAAACCCAGTCCAACTGCTGGACAAAGAGACAGAATCTAGATATGAAGCTCTGGAAAGGCAGATGGAAGAAATACAGCCTGAGAATAACAACAAAGATGATACCTTCTGCATGCCCAGAAATTTATGGTGATTAAATTGACTAAGGCAGTTAAAGGGTTTAACATAGCTTCTGACCCATAACATTCAATAAATGGTAGCATGTTTACTGTTGTTGCTTGAGGCACTGAAATTTAAACACTGATGGCCTTAGTTGAGGTTTGGTTGGCTTCTAATATAAAGGGATGAGACTACACAATAGCAATAAAAGCAACAAAGAAATAAAACAAGCAAACAACAAAAAACAGTGGAATGTTCCTCAAGCCCCAGGGGTTTTCCTGTTCTTCCCCTTCCCTTCTCTCCATGGGATCTCCCAGGCAGCCCTCCCTAGTGCTTTTGCATCTATTAAGTATGAGATCCAGATCCTACTCCACTCCCCCCTCTCCCACCTCTTCAGTGTTTCTGGTTACAATACACGGAGTTTTACATGTTGCTGCCATGACTGTGAATTAGAAGTTCCTCTCACCTCTCACTCAGAGGATCAAGGGGTAGTTTTGTGAACTATAGTTGGATAGCACTAGTGTGAAAGTCAGGATACCTGGGTTTCTTGTTTGGTTTGTTTTGGAAGCTCTGTCATTAAAAAGTTAGGTGTCCTGAGCAAGTAACTCAATCTGCCTAATCCAGAGATTCTTATCTGAAAAAAGAGATGATTGAATTAGATGACATGCAAGGGCTTCTCCAAATACAGCAGGGATGAAGCATTGGCAGCACCTAGGGAAGCTGCCCTCATTACCAAAGTTGCCAAAATGTCTCACCAAGTCATCTTGGGCATCAAACTAGCATCAGCTGTATAATGCCCAAGAATGAACTTTAGCTGGAAGGAAATTAGTACCCACAATGCTCTAGTGTTATTCGTTTAGCCAACAGGAAGTTGTTCTCAATAGCCATGATTTTGGATAAAGAACATACAAGGGGTTAGGCGGCCATTTTGGATACTCAGTAATTCGGTATTGCAGGCTATTTAATTCTCCTGTTTACAAGTCAACTTGAGTACCGAACCTTCACTGGATACCTCCTGCCTGTACATATCCTAGGCAGGTCTTCTCTGAACTAGATGTGCTAATGCTTACCAAATATATACTTCCTTTAAAACATATTCTGTAATTCAGCCGATTCTCTTTGGAGTGAAAAAATCTCCTTATCTCCATGCTAAATTTGGTTTAGCATGTAAACTAACATCAGGATCTATTAGTTTGCACATTCCTGGCGAGAGAAACTGAACTTGGGTAAGGTTAGCTTTTCCTAATAATGGCATTCTATTATTTTTTTTTTAATGGCATTCTATTATTATCCATAGACACTAAGTCTTTGCCAAGAACTCCCTACACTGATGTGGTTTCAAGAAGAACTTTGCAAAGGTGCTTTTCCCCTGTAGTGTCTTAATTGTCATTGTTCCATGAAGTTAATGTTGCTGCGCTGCAGAGCAATAATCTGCAAAGCTATGAAAAATAAAAATTTAGATATTTTTGCTATATTTCATATCAGTTTTAGTGACAAACATCTGTCTAAGTGAAGTGGCATTCATGCTTAACATTTTAAGACAAAAATATTAGCATAAGAGAGCAGTCTATCATGAAAAGCAACGTTCCAGGGAAGAAGGGGAAAGAGGACTTTCTTGAAAAAGAAGGGTCAGTGAAGTAGGTAGGAATCAGATTTTTTTTTTTTTTTTTGCCAGTTCTAAAAAGAAGATTCTCCCCAATCATATCTCCTTAAGTTGAAGAATGTTCCATTGAGATAGAAAGATGCACAAACAGGGGCGCCTGGGTGGCTTAGTCGGTTAAGTGTCCGACTTTCGCTTGGGTCATGATCTCACGGTTCATGGGTTCGAGCCCCGTGTTGGGCTCTGTGCTGACTGCCAGCTCAGAGCCTGGAGCCTGTTTCAGAGTCTGTGACTCCCTCTCTCTCTGACCCTCCCCTGCTCACGCTGTCTCTCTCTCTCTCCTAGAAATAAATAAAACATAAAAAAGAAAGAAAGAAAGAAAGAAAGAAAGAAAGAAAGAAAGAAAGATGCACAAACAAGAGTATATATATTTGGTTTTCCTTGAGAAAAAGGGTATAAAATCCAGTGTGAGTGATTCAAGTTAGACCTTCGGAGAAATATCATGACAGTTAGCAATGATGAACACTGAAACGGGTTACGGAGGAGAGTTTCACTCTCTTTTTGTGGAGGTTTTCAAAGTAGAAGAAACCATCTCTCTGAGTGGAATTGGACATGGTCTCAACTTTGTTTCATCAATTGTAAAATGGGGGGATGTCTGGGCCTCCTTCTAACTTTGGAATCTGGTATTTCCGTCATACCAGGTATATCTTTAGCTGTAGCTGGTTTTACTGGAATGGGGGAATTTCGGTGTTCTTGGCTACTTCAAAGGCTCTCTGTCACCATAGCCCCTCTTATGGCCTATCTCCAGTATCTTTGGCCTGTTCACTGAATCCATAAAACTGGAAACCATAACAACAAGTATGACCTTTTATATCCTTATGCTTTGGCCATTCATATCTTCCAGTTCTTCAGTGAAGTTGATGCCATCCCACAAATCCCTCCATTGTATTTGTGCACCCTTTATTTTCTGATGTCTCTAGCTAAATGCGCTTCCTAAAGGCACACTGGATTAAGGAAGAGCTATCTTCTCTGGAAACCCTCAGGCCACTTGGGTGTGTAAAGAAGACCCTGAGATCCATCCATCCATCCTTACATGGTGGATGGTTACTAATGGTCCTGCCATTAGTAACAACACTTGAGTAATTGAAATGATACCCAAGAAGCTCTGCCTGAATCATTGTCTAGGTGAAACTTATTAAGAGTATCAAAAGAGATGGCGCATGCAAAGGCATTTTGTAATAGCATAAAACCTGGTTATATAATCAACATTATTATGAGGACCTACCTTTCTTTCTTCCTCTCTCTGTTTTGCTGGTTTCCATGGAGCTAAAGATATTGTGAATGATGAGACAGAATCAAACTTGACCAGTGTGGCCCATTCAGACTATTCAGGAAATGAGATGATCAGAAATTTCTTTCAATAATGTAAAAGCAGGAGTGCTGAAACAAAGGTTTTAATAAATTCAGTTTTTAAGGCCAGATTGGCTCTCCCATGTCCAAACATAAGTATGAATTAGTTCTTTCCCCAACATTTTTACTACAGTGTATGTCCAGTTTCTATCTCCTAGTAATATATAGGCCATTAAAATTAAAGAACATGACAATAAAACTACTGATTTTTGACCATTACCAAAGTAACTTATCACTAAAGAGAACATATTGAAGCAGTAAATCAAATAAACATTGCATCATGGAGACGATAAGGTTATTAAGAAAAAGGTTTTTTCCTGACTTTTCAATATTAGGATATTGTGCTGTGAAATATTTCAATGTGGGAGTTAGTGAAGCAAACTGAACTTACCTAGGGAGGTTGCAATAATATTTTTAAAAAAGAAATAGATTAAACAATGAAACATTTTTAAAAAATCTGATCTCTTGGAAACACAATCTCTACTGTAGTCTTTTTCCACGTTGACAACCTACTTTCTGTCCTTTCTGCATTCATAAGACCAGAGAAGTGGCAATAAATTGTTTCTCTCCCTGGTTGTGCCTGGATTGTGTGTAGAATATTTTAGACACACCTACTTTCTTCCTGATCACAGCAAAGGGTTTAAATCCATCAGCAAAGTGATTCCCAGAACATATGGCTCATGGGGGAAAATAGCTTGCATTTAGCTCTGGCCACCTGTCCACAGCTCAACAATGTTGGTAACATATTTTAGGACGTATAAACTAGGATATATATTTAGAAAGTGCAAGCTAAGAAATGTACACCAATCTCCACTAGATTCAAAAACACAAACTGTCATTGCACTAATTCTTAGAGCAGAATTTAATTAAATCATTCCTGGTCACCAAAGATTTGACTGAATGGGAATAATATTCACCTTTTCAGACCTTATGTAGATGGCATTCATCTGGCTACAACCCTAACAATAAGCTTTCTGATAACTGGCACGTTCTTCAATTGCATGTCAGATATGATTTCTGACACTGTAAAAGTTAAATGATCAAGGGAAGATCCATATGCATAAGATGGACCATCTGCCTATTTGCATCAGCTTTCAGACACTTACGTGAAAATAAGGCTTATTTTAAGTTTCTGAGTTCATGAATAAAAAATAAGTTAGTTAACAAGGCTCCTTGGAGATGTGGCTAATTCTTGGGCTGAGGCAGGGAAAAGAAAGATGAACCTGGAGTATCTTGTAGTTCCAGAAAGAAAGGACTTTAAAAATAAAAGAACAAAAGAAAAAAAAAAAGGAAAAAAGATGGACATATGTCAAAAGGACACAGGAAACAACCCAACAGAGCTCCCAATGGTCAAAACTGCAACAATCTGAGCAGCAAAATAAAGAATGATAGCACTGGATTAACACTCAAAGAATTAAACAAGTATCCATGTGTCCATACTAATGTAAAGAAATGACTAAATAAGAAATAAATATGGAGAAGAGACAAATCTTCCATAGACTAGAAGTCTAAGAAATATATATAGATTTTCCCCCCTCCAGAAGGCAGAGGTTAATTCTCCTCCCCTTGAGTATTCGTTGAACTTAGTGACTCACTTCCAAATAATAGAGTATGAAAGGCAAAATAATAACTTCAGAGTGGAGAGCCATGACAGACACCACCTTAACCAAGTGATCAATGGTACCATCACCAGTGATCAATCCTGTTGATAATATGTATCCAATATGGAATGATGCAATGAAAAGATCCCTCACTTCCTCAGCATGTCTCCCCTAAGTCCACAATTCGAGTCTAATCATAGGGAAACATCAAACAAACCAAAATCACGGGACATTCTACCAAGTATCTGACCACTGCTCTTCAAAATTCTCAATAAATAAAGAACAAGGAAAGACTGAGAAACTATCACAGACTAGAGGAGAGTAAGGTGGTATTCTGGCTACATGTAATATGGCTCCAACAGAAAAAGAACATAAGTGGAAAAAACAGGTGAAATACAAATAAAATCTGTAGTTTAATAAACAGTATTATAACAAGATTAATTTTTTAGCTTTGACAAATGTACTAGAGTTATATAAAATGCTAACATTCAGGAAAGTGGGATGAAGATACCATAACAAGCTTAGATTTTTCAAAATAACTTCACACATTTAAAAGAAAGTTACCCCCCACCCCGCCATTTAAGAGTGTTAAAATAAATACAACTTCACTTTCTAAGGAAAGCATTGGTTCTTTCCACAAGTGTTTTTTGCTGACAGCCTCTAAGGGAGATGGGAGGTCCATCTATTCATGCATCTGTCCTTGTTAAAACCTTAAATTTTTATAAAAGTGTATTCATTCTCCCACTACTTTAATTTTATTAAAGGAAACATGACTGTATATTAACTAATCTCATCAGATTACTACATTCTCAAGATTTACCAGGAGAGATAATAACAAATTCATTACTACTTATCTAAAAGTTTGAATGAAGGGGGAGGGGCCAAGATGGCGGAAGAGCATAGAAGTTTTTTTGCGTCTTGTTTTTTGCGTCTTTCGTCCCTGAAGTATAGCCAGATCAACACTAAACCATCTTGCACGCCTAGAAAACTGATCTGGGGGCGCCTGGGTGGCTTAGTCAGTTAAGTGTCCGACTTTCGCTTAAGTCATGATCTCGTGGTTCGTGGGTTCGAGCCCCGCATCGGGCTCTGTGCTGACTGCCCGCTCAGCCTGGAGCCTGTTTCAGTCTGTGACTCCCTCTCTCTCTGACCCTCCCCTGCTCACGCTGTCTCTCCCTCTCTCCTAGAAATAAAAAAATAAAGTAAAATAAAATATTAAACTACAGTAATATCAGCGTTTACAGGTTAACGTAAAATTAGGTCATGTCTTCCGTGAGAGGTTAGGAAAATTTAAACATTTAAAAATGTTTAAACTAAAACATTTAAAAAAAAAAGAAAGAAAACTGATCTGAAGATTAACAGAACAATCTGCACAACCTGAACCACAGAACTTGGCAGGTATGCAGTGCAGAGAAGAGAACTGGGGGAGACAGTAGCCACAGAGGGCAGGGAGCTGTTTTTGCTTGCGGAGAGGGGATGGAGATGGGGGGAGAGTATGGGAAAAGCACCCCCCCAAAAGCAGCTGAAGAGAAACTGGAAAAGTGGAAATAGCCACAGGGACTAAACAAAACAAAAATGGAGAAAGGAGAGGGTTTAAATTCCATTAAGACTCTATAAACAGGGAGAGTGCAGAGTCTGAGGCATTGCAGCTCGATACCTGGTGGTGCTGTGGTCGGAAGGGTGAATCTCTAGAAGCAGAGAGCAAGGTCCAAGGGGTCTGCAGGCCACCCAGAGAGTGGCAGTTACCCTGCTGGGAGGACATTTGGTAGAAGCTGTGCGGTAACCCCGCAGACAAAGGTCCCAGTGGACCCTGGAGAACAACCCCCTTCGCTGGTGTTGGAACAAGGACGTTAAGGGTGAAGCCTGGCACCAAATGTGTGTTGTGATTTACTATAATCCCCGAAACCCTGCTGCTACAAGATCATGTGAACTTTTTCTGGGGAGGGCTGGCACCCAGTCACAGTCTCTGGGCATCAGCAGCAGTGTAGTCTTGCGAATGTTCCTGAGGGTGGGCCAGCACTTGGCCATTGCTCAGTGAGACCCTCCAGCAGAGGATCTGAGTGGGTCAAAGGGTCAATCTTTCAGAAGTGAGGGGTTGGGAAACACAGCCCCACTTGAGATATATCTCAGGAGGGAGGTGCTGCCTGGCAGCCTGACGGCTTGTTCACAGACAGTGTAGAAGTGGAGAGTGGAAGGAAGCTGGAGACAAAGGAGGGATGCTTGATTGCAGGTCATGGAGAGCACAGAGTTCTGATACTAGAGACTGGGTAGCTGGGTGACACCTTTTTCACCCCTCCCACATATGTGCATACATGCCTAGATACTCTGCAGCAATCCATCCCGGTAAGCTAAGCAGCACCACCTAGTGGAGAATAGAGCCATTACACTAACCCACACACAGCTGGGCCAACTGCACTCTTGACAAACAAAAGTCTCTCCATCTGCTTAGTTTACAGACTATAAAGTGCTTCATAGCTTGACTTCTATGGGAAGTCAGATGTAATTTCAATTATACTTCATTCTGTTCACTGGTCTCTTTATTCAAGTTTTTTTCTTTTTCTTTTCTTTCCTCATCTTGAATACAGAAAGAGGAAAAGATTTATATTTATTTTCCATTTTTATTAAAAATATTTTTCTTTATCTTTTCTACTACTTTTTTAATTTTTTGTAAATTTTTAAAATTCTATTTTAATTTCTCATTTCATTTTATTCTATTTTATTGTATTCATTTTTTCAAATTTTCAAATGTTCTCCTTTTTTCCCCTTTTTTCTTTGCCTTTTTTCTTTTATTACCTTTCCCTATTTCCCTAATCTATCAAGCTTCTTTCAACAACCACATCAAAACACACCTAGGATCTAGCATCCTTTATTTAATTTCTTTGTGTTATTTTTAAGTTTTTAATTTTAAGTTTTGTTTTACTTCATTAATTCCTTTTCTTTCTTCAAAATGACAAAACGAAGACCCAAAAGAAAAAAATAGAAAGAAATTTCTTTCACCCCAAAAGAAAGAAAAGAAATAACAGCCAGGGACTTAATCAACACAGATACAAGCAAGATATCTAAATGAGAATTTAGAATCACAGTACTAAGAATGCTAGCTGGGGTCGAAAATAGATTAGAATCCCTTTCTGCAGAGATAAAAGAAGTAAAAACTACTCGGGATAAAATAAAAAATGCTATAACTGAGCTACAATCTCGAATGGATGCCACGACAGCAAGGATAGATCAGGCAGAGCAGCAAATCAGTGACATAGAGGACAAACTTATGGAGAATAATGAAGCATAAAAAAGAGAGAGACTAAGGCAACAGAGCATGAAATAAAAATTAGATAACTGAATGATTCATTAAAAAGGAATAACATCAGAATCATAGGGGTCCCAGAGGATGAAGAGAGATAAAAATGGGTAGAAAATATATGTGGGCAAATCATA